TTCAAAATTTTAAGATATTTATTTAAAAATAAAAATATTATTGTTTTCTTAAAAACACAAAAAACCATATTATATCGATAAAGATAAAGAATAAAACGAAACATTGAAATCTAGATGTGTCTCGATGCATTGCACGAGTACCCTTTTAGTTTTAAAAATAACAACACTTAAAAGTTTTTTTTTAAATATAAAAAATAAAGATTTTAATAGATTTTTAAATAATATTTTATTAACTAAATTACGTATTTGATCCTTAAGCTATGTCAATTATTACAAATTTGGTCCTTTATCTTCATTTATTACAAAAAGAACCCTTCATGTAAGCAATCTTTTACGGATTTGGTCCCTCACGTTAACGTTCGTCCACTATATTCGTTAAGTATGAGGGCAAATTGGTATTTTTAACAATTTTTATTTTGTTTACTATTTTTCTCATATCACAAGGACCAAATCTATAATTTACTCAAATCTATGTTATAACCTTTGAAACCCAGATGAATCTTGAAACTCAGAACCATAACCGTCGTGATCAAAATGGTTTTCAAATGCTTTATAATATAGTATAGATAAACAAAAATGGTATATAAGAACACAACATCATACCTTAAATGACAATGATTAATTGATTCAATCCAGTCATTAATTTGCATAATCATAACGTTCTATGAAAAATATCCTTTTTGTCGTAAATGTTCATATTCGAACAAGAGACATGGTTTGTGTCATCCTCGTTAAGTTCAACATTTGCTTTCTTGATCTCAAAATGGATTGACTAACTTACAAATCCAAATATCATATATTATATGTCATCTATCTGAGCATGTATGCATTTCTTCAATCTCATTCCATCAAAAGACCAAAGGCACTAATCATGTCAATACGAGGGATAAATCTTATCATTGATAAGGCAAGTCTTAAGTTATGGTATTATTAGACAACTGTTATGTCATTCAGTTATAAAATGGTTTGAGCTAGCATGACAATGTATGACTAATCACTTCAATATCATTGTATGATCATGTGAAGAACACTTATATGCCATCTCATATCGTGCTTTCATAGTGTTTGGTTACAGGATCTCAAGTACAACGAAAAATAAAACTGTAACCCTTCAAGGACAAATACAAACCAGAATGAATCGGATGTTTTGAAATTATACCTCACAGTTAGAGAGACTTTAAATCCAACAAACAAGGCTTGGTGCCTTCACGATATCCACACGAACAATATGAATCTTTTGCCTTCTTATGATGCTAGTCATGGTTTCAAAACTTAGAAAGAAAACGAGCATGTGATTGTAGGTGATTGAGAGAAAATTGGAAGACCATTTTCCTGCATAAAATTCCACACATTTTATGGTTATGAGAAGTATGACATAAAACCACCACCATCCTTACACCTTACTTGAGTGTAAGAGTTGTCATAGACCATCAGTCTCTTTTAAGATCATCCCTAGTCAACCTAGTTTATGTCCAACATAAATAATATCTGATTTTTATTTAATTAAATTAAATCAATACAAATTAGATATAATAATTAAACATTTATAATTATACGCGTTTAAAGCATGTGACCCAATGAGTTATCGACACGTTGGTAATAAATATAAATCTCGCATTTATAGTTATAAATGATGAGCAGTATCTAACAATACATCACCATCACTCAAATGACGAGAATCGGTGATACAATCAATATCGGTTTCCTTGATGTCCAAATTGTACACGCGACATTGAATGTTTCATTATCGTTATATTCAATTTCTAGTTTCTTGGTTCCCTAATATACTGATAAAACAGATCATGATATCTCATATCAATTATCTGAGCATGCATACATTTCTTCAGTATATTATTAAAGGGCCCAGAGACATCACTCTCATCATAAAAGAGGGACAAATCATATCTCGATACATGTTAGTTCTACCATGTGATATATAACATATCCAAAAATCATTATATCACTCAGTTACAAAATGATTAGAATAAATGTCAAATTACGTACTCATACATAACAAACTCCACATTGTCAAGTTAAAGAATTACATGTACATTGGTCACAAGAGAAACGCTTATGACACTCATATGACATCGAATGTAGTGTTCTCATAGAGAGTCACATATGGTACACAAAATCTCCATATTCTACGCATACGTGAATTCGATATATCTATATGAATCCCTACATATGATAGTCATTATCATATTACTTCAACCTTAAACCCGAAATAATATTTAACTAGTACATTTAGAATACATTATTCTAGGGTTATTTGTATGAATAATTAAAACACATGATATAATATAGACATAATAAAATGGCTATTGCCTTTTATTTATTTATTAATTTCATGAAACAAAACTCAAAATTACAATCATCGTATGATTGGTTTGTGGACATTCACTAACACATAGCTAGTCGCGTCTAGTACATAAGATCCCCATCTTCTATTTACATGTGAATTCTATACATCTATATAAATCCTTATATACTAATTACCATATTACTTCAACTTTAAAAAATGTTCGCCGTATTTATGATATTTGGGACAAAATGGAAGCATATAGACTCAATACCTGTTTAAAAGCCTATTTATTAAAATAACGATTTTTGTATACAATACTATTTATACTCCCTCTTTTTCTATTCTTTTTAGTTTCACAAAATTCAATAAGTCAAATCCATCAATTCATATAAAAATGAGTTCCAAAAAGGCATTTAGCTTAGTGGTATCGTAATCTTTGGCCTCCTAGGAAGTCAATGGTTCAAACATCACCAAAGATGAGGAGGGTATGTGAGTTTATTTGTTGCATTTGCCGTATATAAATATGATATACATAAAAAATACGTATCCCAAAGACAAGTAAGTGATGCCTAGAGATAGACTTGATTAATTTTTCAAAAGTTAAAAATGAACGTTTATGAGAAAATACATCACATTTTGCCAAAATCTAGGGGCATGCAGGTTGATTGGTTGGGATTTGAATAACTTAATTCAATTATCTTAAACTAAAAAACTATAACCCGTTCTAACACTTTTTAATATATAACCTAATCCTAAGCTGCTCGGTTTGGATTCAATTGAACAAAGTTCCAACGAAATGGTTATCTTAAAATCTAAAACCTAAGAAACAAGAAAAATCAAATAAAATATTACAATCATCCAATATAAAAGTTAATAATAAGTGTCGAGAATAGATATTACAATACAAAACTAAACTGAATCCATCAATTAACATTAACGGTTTTGGAGATCTATAGGAAAATGGTGATTTGCATTTGGATTGGGGTCTATTGGGCCAAACAGGTTGGATTGATAGCCCAAACCCTAATTCAATCTCGGGTTATAGATTTTAAGCATCAATCAATGATTTCAGACGGTTAAGGTTTGGGTCTATTTTGGATCGGACCAAGTCGGGTTGTCAAGTTTGTTTTAGGACCTGTTTGTTAACAATTTAATGAGCTTAATGGGACTTACTGCTTATTTAGTCAGGTATACATAACTATTTTACAGCGACTTCTGATGATATAGAAAGTTGTTTATCCAGTAAACTTTTACGAAAAAGCTTTATGCAAAAAGCTAAGTTTTTTCAAACCTACCCCTCTCAATTAAAAACATGAGAACCTTCCATATATGGAAAAAAAAAAAACTCTCAAACAAAAACTTTCTCAATCTACAAAGACAGATTAATCCACACAACACTTTATCCATACACAACTTAATAAAAAAACCAACCAAACAACCCCTTAGGTGTGCATGTTTAAGTTGAATTTGGTTTATAGAGGGTGGTTCATTTAGAAACCTTAAATATTTTAAAAACTCTTGAAACCACCTTAATTTATGTTATAGCTTTGGTTTCGAAGTATTCATGGGCACTCCTCAAAATCAAGTGGATGCACTGTTCTAATGCCTAAAAAATTTCTCTTGCAATTATCGAGTGAGCGGGTGCATGGGAGCCCGCTCAGCTCCTAATAGGTCTGCCACTAACGTTATTCAACATGAATGCTACACAAAATAGGTGGTTCTCAGGTTCCCAAAATATTCAGGGTTCTTCCTGCTCATGTAACGCCAAATGTGGATGATGAAGTTTGTCTCGTCAGTTCCGGTATTATATACCAAACGCAGCCTAAATTAGCCTACCCCTTGGTTTGTATATGGAGATGTATATCCTAAAAAGCAGACATCTCTCCTTTGGAACTCAACCTGGTTTATGATATCGGTAATGAACCTAAAGAAAACTATAACAAATCCTGTATCGATCCAGCTCCTAATATAAGAGCCACACTCGTAGTTGTATCATTCTTCCTAGTTTCAAATTCTCAACATAATTACTTTATCATGTGGTTCAACCAACCATAACCATAACCATTTCATTCATATATGAATAACAGAGTGCATATTAAAAGAATATCTGCTAAAATCTTTTAAGAGAAAGATTACCCTACCTCTGTGTGGTATTGTCAACTCTAACTGAGATGCATATAAAGAAATTATGCACAAAGTGGTGTCCATTAGAATGTAAAGAAATATGTCTCAGTTTTGGACAATAGGCAGATCAAAGAAGTTCCAAAATCTTGCTTGTGGTTAGAGTCTTTAAAAGCCAAGTATATGAAATTCTGTGGACAGCAACAGTTAAGGCCAAGGGTTATATTAGTCCAGTGATAACCCAGGTTAACGGTAAACCCCAACCTCCCTAAAGTTTAAGAGTTCAAGCCCTACCAATGTTGAGAAGTGTTTGTGCGTGAGTTTTGCGGTATATAATTATTATGTAGTCACAAAAACAATTAAGGCCAGACTATTACGGGAAATAGGGGTTAAAAGGAACATTGGGCTGGCCTACATGACGGCAAATAGTAACATGTATGAAGTGATAAACCAACCAATCAACACTAGGGAGTAGGGATGGCAAGTTACCGCTGCATCTGCTCCAAATCAGGTTTAACACATCTACCACATACCTGTTCTTTGGCAGCTTATCTTGATCATATTGAGTCTAAATAAGAAGAGACTCCTCAACTTCAACATTCACCCAAATCGTGATGTGAAGGTTAGTCAAAAACTTGTACTAGTGTGAAAGCATATAACATTTGTTCTTACCTTTCACAATCTGATATGCAAATATGCTAGTCTTCGATCCCTCTGATCCTGAACAATTAAAGCAAAATAATATGAACCCTAGCATATATTGTGAGAAAGAACATGTTTACCTGGTAAATGTTGAATACAGACCTTATATATGTAGGACTACCGCATTCATCGGATATAGAAATCATCCAAGAGTGGAGAGCGGTGCACCAATGTTGCTCAACTGCATCCATGACCAAAACCCATGACCGGAATAACCATACAGGTTGCTCCACCGATCATCCTTGTACTTGCCTAATGACTAAAAAATGGCAATCATATAACAAAGATTCAACCTTTATTCAGAAGGCCAGAAAACAAGACACTGAATCACTTCATTCCTGTGATTTGTCACCAATGCAATCAGATCTGATCCTGCAAGGAGTTTGGTTGGCAAGATTGGGATAGCAACCATCAACATGATGCTTTTAGACACCAAATTGATGTGGGTATCGTTTGCAGCCAAGCCAAGCCAAAACCCTATCACTTCATAGTGGTAAGAGTCTTCGAAATCTGGTTTCAACAGCAGTTTTAGGCTTCACACAATCCTTGTTTCTAAGCAAAAATTCCTCTTTCGGGATACCATCAACACGTGAATATACAGGTATATTCATTCCATCTCATGTATAAACTTATACTAAATGCGGTAGACAAATGGGTCTCAAAGCAGAAAAAAGATGATATATCAGTGAAGATTAACAAAAGAAGCAACTTAAAGAAAACCAAAAGTTAAAGAGACAAATTTCTTCAAGAAAGATCAAGAGGGTCTACCACCATATTGTTTTCCTAAGCCGGAGACATTGAATAAAAGTAACTACAACATTGATATTCTTGTCTAAATAATAATTACTGAGCAGCAATTTACTCTTACAGTTAAAACCATCCTCTTCCTTCGAAATCATCCAGATATTATATATACTTCCTTTTTTCAGCATGCATAAATACCAGAACGCAAATGGTAAATTGTCACCAAGGCAGAATGACTGAACTGAACAATGAACATCGTCAAATGCAAAGCCAACCTCTTTCTTGTCGCATGGTGAAAGATGGAGGCTAACTGTAAACATCATCATCAGAAACTGTCCTCTTTGCTTGCTTAATCTTCTCCAGCTGAACCTGGGTATCCATGAACAGCTGCATCCTCTGAACTTCCAAATCTTTAGTGAATTGCATCCTCTGCTTCTCCAATTCAATCATCTGTTTCTGCTTCTCTCCCTCAACCCTCTCATAAATCTCTCCGAACCTCTCAATAGCCCTTGCCAACCGCTTCATGCAGTCGGAATCCCCTCCACCCTCCTTCCTCACTCCCTCCCCTCCTGCAGCACCGTCGTCCTCGCTAGTCCCCAGCGACTCGTCGTCCTCTGATCCATCCTCCTCCGCGGCTGCAGCAGCGGCAGCAACAGCTGAGTAATTCCTCCGAAAATAGGAGTCATCGACAGCCGCAGCCACCGGCAGCGGTCGTTTCTGAGGGAGAACGACAGGCTGTTGAAATTGAGAAGACAACACCGTCGAAGGTGGTTTTCGGTAGGGTAAGGGAACGGCTGTCGGCGGTGATGACGAAGACGACTTCTTCGCAGTTGCAGCCGATCCGATTAACGTGTCCAGGCGAGAGTAAAACGGCCAAGTACTAGTAATTTGCCCGTTGGATTCAGAAACCCTAGCTTTTTCAACCTTATACTTCTTCTTAAGAGTGTCGATTCGGTTTTTGCACTGAACATCGGTACGCCTGGTTTTCTTCGTATGACCATGACGAGCGTTAACGGCATCGGCGACCTCCTGCCAATCCTTTTGACGGAGGTTGCCACGGTTAAGCTCAAGGTAACGGCGGCCCCAAGCGTCGACCAGCGTCGATGTTGCATCCTCGCTCCAACAATCCTCACGGAAAGGAAGCGGACGAGAAGACGGAGTCTGAGTGGCTCCAGCTACGGTGGCCGGAGACGGAGAATTGATCAAAGCTAAGTCGTCGCCCATCTAGGGTTTGTTTATCGGTGAAATTTTTGGGGGAAAGAGATAAATAGAGAGAGAGAAAGTACAAGTGGGTGAAGCGTCGGTGTCGGTACCGTTTCCATCCATTGTCTCACTGGCATCTCTTCGCCGATGTACGGCTCCAACTCCGACGTGGAACTGACGTTATCTGTCGCTTTAGAGACTTGTACATCCTAGAGCTTGCTTTACCCACTTGTACCCTTTCCTTCTATTCTTTGATTCTTTCATGCTCTCTAATTCTATCCCTTCCAACTATAATTCTATTTTAATTTTTTTAACCAAATAAATGTTAATTTAAAACATATTTTAACACATCTATAACTATATCTATATTATATTATAAAACATTTGATAAAAACTCTTAAAAACCATTTTTTATGCATGAACTACTGTATGTCTGTATATCGATGCATATTACTTAAAATTTAAGATTGCAAGTAAATTATGCATAAATACAACTTATTAAATCTTCATATTTGAATTTGTGTAACTAACTACGAATAAACATAATCAAATAGAGGATAAACATCTCATTTTAAAATATAATTTTTTTAAAATATAATAGAGTCCTAACAAAATAATTAATTATTATCTTTACATTTAAAATATAATTAGGATAATTATCGAATTCTAACAAAATAATTAAGTATTATCTTTATAAGAAAATGATATTATTAAACCAAATATAAATTACTTCGTTATTGAACATAAATTAAATTATAACAAAAAAATTTGATTTAAAAAATTACACAAAAAATGATGAATTTTAAATAGTTAATTTGATACTAATATTGATATATTTTTATCAAATTTTTATGATATCTTCAATTTTATATTTTATTCAAAAATAAAAACATCAACATTTTTTCAAAATCATATAAGAGCATATTATAACATGTACTAAGATAAAGAATAAAATAAAATATTAAAATCAAGATGTATCTCGCTGCATTAAGCGAGTACCCCTCTAGTTATATTATAAAGGATTTGATAAAAATTCTTAAAAATATTTTTTATGCATAAAGTACTATTTATTGATGCATATTACTTAAAATTCAAGATTACAAGTAGAATATGCATGAGTACATCTTATTGAAGCTCCATGTTTGAATTCGTACTAGAATGGTACTCGCACAATGCAGCGAGATACATCTCGATTTTAATGTTCTATTTTATTATTTGTCTC